ACTTATGGAGGAAGACTTACACTAAACATAACCTGCACTCGCTACCCCCATAGTAACACATGGTGGTGGCAGTGTCATGCCATGAGGAGTCCTTGAAGTCAGCTGAAAATTCAGACTGCAGACTTCCAAATTTGCTGATTACTTATAAGATTGCTTGCAAACCATGCATCCTTTTAACTTCACGTATTTACAATCAAAAAACTGTAAGAAGAAATCAGCTAAAATATTACTGTATGCATACTTTTGGAAGGCAAAGTAAAACTGCTCTTAATACATAGCAGCTCTGTTTCATCATGCTCAGTCTCAGACCACAGTCAACCAAGCTGAGTTATTCTGTTTTCAGCGTAACCCATCTATTTTCCATGGGTGTGCATACAGTCAGACACGCAACTGCAAAACAAGACACATGATATGCGTCGAAAACTGCAGCACACATGAACTCAAACTAAACATTAAAAAAGAAGACAAACACACACACCAGAAGCAAGACGTCATTCACACACAGACACTGTCTGTGCTTGGATAAACCTCTTGTGCCCAGATAAATCTATACAATAGTCCCCTTTAGGGACATAGTCTCTTGTATGTGATTTAAGAACTCAACGGTGCCCCATTGTGGTTGTTTGGTTGCATTGAGAGAAGCTTCACGTCTATATGGCTAGGCTGTGACTGCAGGCTGTGCAAAGGATTATGGTTTGGATTAATTTCTTTAGAACAAGCTTAAAATGATTGTGCACACAATAGCACACACATTATTCTCACAGGCAGTATACGTCCTGCATAACCACAAAAGCTTCAACAACAGACAATGCTGCAGCTGAGTATTTGAGTAGACTTTTGTACTGCACCATTTCATCAAACACCTTCATTATTAAAGAGCAGCTGATTAAAATATAGTTTGCAATGGAGCTAATACTTCATTTTATATATATATATATATATATATATATATATATATATATATATATATATATATATATATATATATATATATATATAAAATGAGCCGTTTACAATGCCTTACAACTATAATAACTTTAGTCACAAACTTTAGTTTATTTCAATGGGAATTTTTTATAAAGTGGAAGTATAAAAATACAACATACGGTTAAACTCTGGCTCTTATGAGCTGGTGTCCAGCAATGTCTCAATGTCTAAGTTAAAGTGTAAGGTCATTCACAGAATTAGTTGAAGTAAGACCTCTTAATTCCCAATTTGATTCAGGTACTTTTAAAAGCAGATGCCTCTAAAACATGTCAAAAAATTAAGGCCTATAGGCAAAATCCAATCAATCAAAAGATAAAATATACATATTTTTCTTGGAATATATATATTTTCCCTTATTTTGAGCAGATAAAACAATCTGGAAAAGGAATAAGTTTTACTTTAAAATAAAATAGTTTTATCTTATTTCAAGTTTATACTGTTTTCTGTTTTAAGTGCAAAAATATCCCCATTCCACTGGCAGATTGTTCCTTTTACCAGCTTATATTAGGAGTAAATAGAAAAATAAGCCAACGTTTCTAAAAATACGTTTGATAGTTTTTCCATTGTTGTGTCATAAATAATTCTATAATGGCTGAAACTGCTAAAAGAAATACAAAACGATATGAGGTTAATGATAGCAGAACGGCGTGATCTTGTAAATCAAGGTGTGAAATCAAAACCCTTTCATGCAACTAAAACGTCCCTTTTAAAAGACTTCATGATGCTGAAACGGCTTGATAAAAAAGTGGGTTTGAAAAGTTCCAGGACACCAACTCAGTTATAGTATTTCAAGTATATGCCGTCACCTACTCTGTATTGTTAGTGTCATTGCATTTCTGGAAGGAGGTCCTCTGTAACGTACTAGTTTATTTACTGCCACCTTGTATTTAGCAAAAAAGTTCCTGCTGGAGAAGAGCATCCCACAGCATGATGCTGCCTCTCCCATTATTCCCTGAGGAGACTAAATTCAGAGGGGTCAATTGAGTCATGCATTATGTAATCATAGACCATCCTTTTATATCTTTGCCACCACCCTCCATGGTTTGTGGTTCATTTAACTTTCAACAATTGCTTTGATCTCCCCATCTTTCTGAATTAGCGCTGTAATGAAAATGACATGATGTAGTTTCTCTAGAAGTGCCTTCAACTTTGTCTGCTCCAAAATCTAAACGTCTTATTCAGTTCCGTGATTTGAAAAATATCTCCCCTGGGGCTTTGTCTTCTGCTTTTCATTCCTTGACTGCTGTCAATCATTCTTCTGTAACTGACTCTGTGGATTACTACAATCAATCTCTCCAGGAGCTTCTGGAGCTCCATGCTCCACTGAAGTCGAGGCTGGTGTCATTCTGCCGCTCAGCTCCTTGGTACACCGATGAGCTGCGGAACATGAAAGCTGTTGGACGTGCTATCGAGAGACGTGTAAAAAAATCAGGTCTCTCTGTACACAAGCAGGCATATAAGGAACATCAGAAAGCGTATGCCTTTTCTCTTAAGGAAGCACGGTCTAAGTATTATTCCAACATTATCAACAGCTGTCCGGGAAATTCCAAACAGCTTTTCTCGACAATAAAACATCTCCTTCATCCCAATCAACAAACTGAGGATGAGGATTCGACTGAAAAATGCAATCTGTTTCTCTCATTTTTCAAAAACAAAGTAAATTCTATTAGATCTCAGCTCCACAGCCTTCCTGATCTTCGGCTGCCATCTACCCTTGTACACCATGGGTCCATGAGCTGCTTTGATGAAGTTGCAAAGAGTGAAGTGGAGAACATCCTCAAGAAAATGAAGCCTTCATCCTGTGCCCTGGATCCCTGCCCCTCATCACTCATAAAATCTAATCATGCCGCAATAAGTCCGTTAATCACACAAATAATAAACAAATCACTGAAATCTGGTCATGTTCCATTGCCTCTTAAAACAGCCATCATTAAACCTCTTCTAAAGAAATCTACCCTGGATCCAGATATTCTTTCCAATTACCGCCCAATTTCACATCTTCCTTTTCTGTCCAAAGTGCTGGAAAAAGCTGTTGCCGCTCAGCTGCAGCTTCATCTAGAACAAAACTCCCTGTACGAGAAATTTCAGTCTGGGTTTCGTTCTGCTCACAGCACTGAGACCGCTTTGCTGAGAGTTACTAATGACATCTACATGGCGGCTGATGCTGGGTCTACATCTCTCCTTGTTCTCCTTGATCTAACTGCAGCCTTTGACACTGTGGACCATAACATCCTACTACACCGTCTTCATGTGGAGGTCGGTCTCTGTGACACCGTTCTGGACTGGTTTAAATCTTTTCTCTCCAATCGGCTGGAATGTGTTAGCCTCGGCAAGGCCAAGTCCCAGGCTGTCTCTGTCTCCTGTGGTGTCCCACAGGGGTCAGTATTAGGGCCCCTGCTGTTTTCCCTTTACATGCTGCCTTTGGGTCAAATCATAAATCGATATAACATCTCCTTTCACTGCTACGCCGACGATATACAACTCTATATTAGAACTGGAGCATCATCACCATCTTCACTTGATGCTTTCACTACCTGCCTGGAGGAGATAAGGAAGTGGATGACTCAGAATTTCCTTCAGTTGAACTGCTCCAAAACTGAGGCCATGCTGATCGGAACACCTCACCAGGTTCAATCTTCAACTATGACGACTGTTTCCTTTTCTGGACAAGACATCCCATTTTCCACCATAGTTACAAATCTTGGAGTTAGAATGGATTCTCAATTTACTTTTGAAAATCACATTAAGCATCTGTCTAAAATCTGTTTCCTTCATCTTCGTAATATCTCCAAAATTCGTCCGTTCCTTTCTTTTTCTGATGCTGAGACTCTCGTTCATGCATTTGTCTCCTCCAGGTTAGACTACTGCAACTCTCTGTTTGTTGGAATCCATAAAAAACATCTTCAGAAGCTCCAATACATTCAAAACAGCGCAGCCCGCAAATTTGAGGGCCGCAAATTTGAGGGCCCGCAAATTTGCCCATATTACACCTATTCTGCATGACCTTCACTGGCTTCCCATCACCTGCAGAGTTCAATACAAAATCACGCTCATCACCCATCAGTGTTTAAACGGATCCTCACCGGATTATCTGAAGGACCTTCTCACTCCACATTCATCCACCAAATCTCTTCGATCACAAGACTGCAACTTCCTTCACCTTCCTCGCTCCAGATTAAGTTCCATGGGAGATCGGGCCTTCGCTGTCGCTGCCCCCCGTCTCTGGAACTCTCTCCCAGATCATCTGAGAGCTCCACAACCACTGAATGATTTTAAAAGAGGCTTGAAGACTTTTTTATTTAAGCAAGCCTATTCTGCCTCCACATGATTTTTATGTTGTTTATTTTTATCTTTGATTTTATTGACCACATGATTTTTATGTTGTTTATTTTTATCTTTGATTTTATTGACCTCGTGATTTTTATGGTTGATTTTTATCTTTGATTTTATTTGCACTGTGTAGCACTTTGAGATTTTTCTTAATGAAAAGTGCGGTACAAAATTGGATTTATTATTATTATTATTATTATTATTATTATTATTATGTAGTTCAGTTTGGCATATCCTTACTGGCACTAATCTTGTGTAATCATCATTAATGGCTTGTAATTACAGCAGCGTCACTACGTCACAGCGGGACTGCGTCAGCGTCAAACGTCCCGACTGCAGATGCTGCCTTCAAATGCCAGTAAGAAATTTTAAAAACAGTTATGTTTACTTCATCGTGATGGAAGTAAATGATGATTTTAGCCCGTTTTGCAGTTCTTGCTACATTATGCTGACTTTAATTTCAAATGTTATGCGTTTAAAAACGCTCTGGGTTTTGAAGTAGGTTTATAAATGTTTTAATTCCTTAAGATTTAGAGGTTACATTTGCAAAAAATATATATGCTTCATTGAATACCGACACAGAAGATTAGTTTAATTGTTTAATAGTATATTTAAACTAAATATTTTATTATTCCGATAAGTATTTATGTGCAGGCTTCTCGGCTTTAGCATTTCCGAGCTGCTCTAAATGCACCATCCGTTCGCTGCTGCACCTTTCACTTCATTTTGCAGCCACAGCGGAAAATAAATAATGAAAAACAATGTCAAGGATAAGGACAGCAGTGTCTCCAGAGTAAGGGACTGATCATGGCCTCTCGGTGGAGAGAAGCTCCTCGCTGCCGCTCCGAGGAGCCTGCAGTCAGCCTGGAAGCAGCTGAGGCGCCCCGGCGACAGGAACCGTCTGAAGACACCGGGGAGCCGCTGCAGGAGCTTCCCAAATGGATGCGGCTCTACCTCTACGGCATGCACGGAGTGACTCTGGATGTGCTGTTCTCCTCTCTGCAGGGGATTTTAACCAGTCGGGACTTTAAGCTGGTGGGCTTCTCGTCTCCGTATCTGTGCGTCATGCACGCGCTGACCCACTTTGCGCTTGAGAAGATCTACTCCCAGAAGAAGAGCTTCCAAGGTCGGCCTGTGGTGTTCCACCTGGTCTTCTATCCATCTGTCTTCATCGGGCTGCAGCTCCTCATAGGGAACATCAGCACTCTGACCGAGCAGGTGCGAGTGGTGTCAGGGACGCAGCTGGTGGTCCACTACATCCTGGCTCTGTATTTCTCCCAGGTGTTTCATAAAGGTCTGTCCAACCTGCATTACAGACCCTCCTCCAGCTGCGCGGATCTCTGCAGGAGCCTCGGTGGTCCGGGTGCGCCTCCTTCGCGCGCCCTCCCTGGGTTCGTGCGCTTCTTGTTTTTTGGCATGCATGGTTTTTTGGACGAGGTTCTCTTCACGTCTCTGTTCAACCTGGTGGAGAAAACCGACGGGACCCTGGGGGGCCACACGTCCCTGTGGTCTTTCCTGATGTACGGAAGCTGCAGCTTTGTGGTGGAGAAGCTCTACTTCCACCTGCACTTCGGCCGAGGATGGGGGACCTGGCGGCGCCTGCCAATCTATGTCTGCTTCATCTACACCTGGGAGTTCTGCTGTGGGCTGCTCCTCAGGCAGTTTGACGCCTGCTCCTGGGATTACTCCCACTACCCGCACAATTTCATGGGACTCATTACTATCCTGTACCTGCCAGGCTGGGTGATCCTGAGTTTGTACCAGGACGTGTTGACCAACGTGCTGTTGAGAATAAGGTGCACCAAAGATCTAGACTGTGAGAGTGGAGGAAATGGAGAGGTCAATGGGCAAGCTAAGAAAAAATGATTTAATCTGACCCCTCACATATATGCCTCACTATTGAAATGAATTATGATAATTCAGGTTCATCTCAGCAACTTGGAATATCATCAAAAAGTTTATATATATATATATCTCTTCCTAATTAAAAGAATTAGATTGATTACCAGAAGGATAATCTTAAACCTGAAATGTTGGGAATCATGACCTTGTCTTACAAATACAAAAATTTGTAAGACAATGAAACCACTTGTTTTTTTGTTTTTGTTTTTTTGCAAATTTACCCTAAATAATAAGGAATTACAACATTTATAGACCTACAGCTAAACTCAGAGTCATGATATTCTAGTAAAAACTCCAACATGGGCTAAAATCATCATTTACTTCATGGCGATGAAGTAAACATAACTGGTCTTTATCGTGGAAAGTTAAGTGGAAGGATAAAAGTGTGGTAAAAAATGCCAAAAGTAAGCCTTAAACATTGTTTACCAGTCTGGCCGTTTAGTTTTTGCTTCAACTGAGCAAATTAATGGAAAGTTGAGTGAAATGAAAAAGTGTGCAGAAACTTGCCATTATAAATGCAGCTTGTTATACAGTAATTAATGAGGATCATAATTAATGTTCTTGGAAGTGTTTACTTCTATTCATTTGGATTCAAATTCCTTTCGGCCAATGAAAAATCTTAATTTCTTCTGAAAATTTGAACATTACATAAACAGAAAAAAAAAAAAAAACTGGGAGCCATCCCCATTATGTGCAGGTCAACGTTTTTTCCAATCTGACAGACACCAAGTAAAGAATTACAGGAAACTGTTGCAGAAACCTTCAGTTTAAAGAATTTTGTATGTAAGCGATTCAATGGGAAGTTCGTTGGAAGGAAAACATGTTGAGAAAGGTAGCTGTTAATACTACCTTGGCCTCCCTTATTTATCTAAAAAATTTTAGAAATATTTCTGATCTTGTTTTAAAACTGATCATCTTCACTCAGAACCCTATGACAGCTATAGCCAGTGGCATTTTGACAGTAATTTCTCCTTCCACTCAACTTTCCTTTCATATTCTTCAAAACAGAACAAAGTATAGCAAGTTTCTTTACTAATGATTACCTTAAAAGTCTTTATTTGTCTTCATATTCTAATGAACCAAAGCTCATTATCTTTAAGCCATAATTATCAACATTAAACCTGAAAGGTCTTAATTTATGTATAATAAATGTATGCTAACTACACACTGTCACTTTAATTGAATGACTGAAATCATTAAACTTTTAAAGATATTGTAATTTATTGAGATGAACCCATTTATTATATTGAACAGCTTCTAATGTTCGCTTTATGATGTCCATGAAGACCCTTGACTGTTTCATACCCACCCATGAACTTACTGCCATTGTATTAGAAAAGGGATTGTAATACTAGAATATTTTATAGCGCCATACTTCTATAACTGTTTGGATGCCTAAAGTTTTGTGGAAAACTAAATTTGGGATTCCTCATACATGTAATGTAATTTAGAGCAATTCTGTTTTTCTGGAGTAAATGATTCAGTTTTTGAATAAGCTGAAACTTGAAAAGTAACATGGAAGTTTTATTATGTTTTATAATCAACTAAAACACAAAGATTGACTCCAACTCTTCTTTTTAAAGAACAGTAGAGATTAAGATTCGTCTGGCAGAAATAGACAAATGAGTTTTAGAAGCCAACAAGATTGAAAATAAACCAGTGATAACAATCCAAATTTGTACACGGCTCTGTTCCGCCTTGGCTCAGCTTTGCGGCCAGACAGCTGGCCTGGCTCTGCTACAGACTCACCATTAAGCATTGTGGGTAGTTTTTAAACCACAGGAAGTCATTTAGCCTGCTCAGCTATAACTTGTGCACATACCAGCACGCTAGAACTGTCATGACAAAAATAAAATAAAAATTTATTTGGCTTTTTATATTAAACCCTGCTCTAGAAGCTGCCTGATGCTCCAAAGGCTAAAATTTGAAAATATACATTTTTTATTCTCTTTATAGTAACAAACTCATTGGTTTCCATAAATTGCCTTAAAGGATTTTAGAAAATGAAAAAAGTAGTTGTAATAAACTGATTATATGCATTTTTTTTTTTTTTACCATGTCTCAATAGAAGAAAAAAAGTATTGAATTATTTCTGTAAGGGATCAGAGCAAAAAGACATAGTCCTAAATGTAGCGATGGAGCAAACCACAAATTTGGAAGCAAGGGAGGTTTCACTGTGAAATTTTCATTAACCAAACATTACTTTGCTGGAGTGCCTTCCTGTGTAAACACAGACTCAATTAAACAAAACATGACTCCTTTACTTGGCTGCAAGCACTAAAGCCATGGATCCCAACACCTCAGCTTTGATGGCTCAGTAATGAATACATCTGTGTACAATGAAAAAATAAAACAGTTTTGATTTTTAATTAGAAAGCAGCTTTCTTTCTATGTGATTCCCAAATGCATTTAGAAGTGCAAATTTTCTACGTTCTAAATATTATTGTCAAATTATGCAACCTGTCAGAGAGCTGATGCCGGTTTGGCGATTTAGTCTGTTTTGGACTTGGCAGCTATACTGATGTTTTTAAAAGTTTTAAATATTTACACCACTTACTGCATGAGTCCATTATTTTGCACATCATAAATATATTCCCTGACCGCATAACTGTACTTTTATCATACTTAACTTCTGTTTGAGCATCTTTTAAATGAAAAAAGTTTAGAAAAGGCATAGTATTATACTATGTGTAACATTCAAAAGATGCATGCACTCTGTTTCATCATCCTGATTAGACATGGAAACTTTCTGTTACAACTTGTTCTTATTTTCTTGTTGTAAAAGTGTAACAGTTTTGGTCACAAGTGTTTCAAGAGACTGTCAGCATGCACCTTTTGAGAATCAGTTTATGTAACATTCTGGTTTGCTTTACTTTTACTTTTTTTAAAGTTTGCTTTGGAATTAATGCTGTTAAACTGCTCCTAATGTTTTGGATAAATTAAACATTCCTCAACCTCTAACAAATCCGTATTATGCTCTTTATGTCAACTTAATAGCCTAGGTACTTATTTGTAAGCTTGATGTGCAGTTTGACTGGGGTAACACATTTGCATGACATTTCTATGTTCAAATCTTTAAACAAAACATGTCTGTTAAAAAATATTGATGTTTCCTAATATTTGCAATACTTAAATAACCTTTCTAAAACATCAGACCAATAGTTAAAGCCTAAAAATTTGGGAAATATGACAATAATTTCCCAGTTCATGGGCTCTGGAAAGATGGTATCACTTCTCTTACATACATCCTCATCTTCAGATGTTAAAGTAGAACTATGTACAAAATAAGGAGATTTCCAAAGCCAATTGTTGCAATATCTTGTAGTTACAAAGATTCCCTAACCAGAATTCATCCATCCATCCATCCATCTTCTTACACACTTAATCCCAAGTGGATGTCGCGAGGAGTGCTGGTGCCTATCTCCAGCTGTCAATTGGCGAGAGGCGGGGTAGAACCTGGACAGGTCGCCAGTCCATCGCAGCTAACCAGAATTTGCACAAATTATTTCGCAAAATATTATATTGTCTTATAGCAAAATTTAAATATCAGAGGAATATAAATGAATGTAAACACACTCTTTATGATACCTTAGAGATGCCCCTAACCTCGGCAAGCATTCAGACAGCATAAAGCTCTAGGGAAGACAACAGAGTTCCTTGGTGACTTTCAGCAAACCTCACTGCACCTCATTTGGAATACATGAACTACTCAATGAAGGCTCATTAGCAATAAACTGATGCACCATACTGATGTGCAAGCATGACACAGCTTAGCTAAGAGAAAACAGGAAGTGGGAATGCAATCTTTACCTCACAGTTTCTTCACTTTTAGTTACTCAAAAGTTTTCTTGCTGAACCCTTGCCAGCATATTAACCAGTGAAGCTATAAATACACAGTTTGAAAGGGGTAATTATTTATCTGAAGTGCATAGCCTGAATAGTGTAAGAGTAGAAGACCACTGTGATGTTATGCAGCAGTTGCTGTCTTGGTAGATTGAGAGCCTGAAACACCATATTTAGACAAAAGGAGAACCAGCTTGCATAAAACTGTAAGATTATATTTTAGGCCTGATAAACGTTCATCTAAACCATTGTGTCCAAACATAACTGGGTGCACAATGTTATACATCTTTACTACAAACATTTACTATCAATTTACAACTGTTTTGAACACAATGTTGCATGCAGTCAAGGTAACCAGGTATTAATGGATCCTCTGAGTTTTAATGCAACATTTTTCCTAATGATTGTAAGCAATATGCTTGGATGGCAAACTTTACAGAAGTTGCAGTGCAGCTGAAAGTGCTAAAAAGCCCAAATGCAAGTTTTTTTCCTTTTAAATCATACTAAAATTAAAAGCTTTCCAATAATGCCATTACAGCACTTAGAAGTCACTTTCAACTATCCGTTCATTTTCAGTCACGCTTATCCATGCTGGGGTCGTGAGGGGTGCTGGTGCCTTTCTCCAGCTATCTACGTGCGAACGGCGGGGTATTATCTGGACACAGGTGGCCAGTCTACCGCAGGGCAACACAGGGACTAACTGATTCTAACCATTCACGCACACACCATTAAGGAGAATTTAGAGAAGCCACTTAACCTAACAGTCATGTTTTTGGACTGTGGGAGGAAGCCGGAGTACCTGGAGAGAACTCACGCATGCTCAAGGAGAACATGTAAACTTCATGCAGAAAGATCCTGCACCTGGAACCTTGTTGCTGCAAGGTAGCAATTCTACCCACTCGCCAACGAGCAGCCCACTTTCAACTATATCTATATTATTTGTAAGTCTTTAGTCTGCACAAAGCTAAAATTGGGGTTACAAAACCATCAGCAAAAGGTTTGGGGAAGAAGGAGACAACCCCTGGTGCTGTTTTTTTTAAAGTGACGGTCACACAATTAATTGTCCTCTGACTGGTCTCTGGCCGATCTCTGCTAATGAGGATGATGGCGATTAAGGTGAGGGAACATCCTAAAACTACACTGCAGGTCTCTGAACTTGATCTAAAGGCATTTGGGGCCTAAGTTAACAAGACAATGGTATCACACTATAACAACTGAAATCTGCCCGCATGGTCACTCTGCTTAAGGTGACCCATGTACAGGCTTTGCCTAAACTTAACAAATTTGAGTTCAACATCTAAATAACTCAGAAAAGGTTTCTGAGAATGTGCTGTGGTTGGAGAACGAACCAAGGTGAATATGATCACGAACTTCATCCCCACAGTAAAGCACGGAGGTGGAAGCGTTTCGTTTTTGGAATGTTATTCTTGCAAAGGGGACAGGACGACTCCACTGCATAGGGGGAGCTATGAATAAACATACAGTGACGACAACAAGAAGCGTATTAGGTTCATAGAGAGGTCTCTTTAGACCCCTGACCTCAATTCGAAACCTATGGAGGGTGCCAAAGGTTCTAGTTTCAAAAAGGATGCTGAGAAACATAAAGCTGTAAAACATTTTGCAAATAAAAAGGAGGAAAAAAATTTTTTTATGAGGTGTGCAAAGAAAAAAAAAATGTTAATCTACAAAAAATGTCTCATCCCTGTGCAAAACAAGAGTAACTACCAAATATTATATTGTGTTTTGGTTTGGAATCAAATATTATTTTCACTAAATACAATACATAATGTTATTTAGCTTTAATGCAGTTTGTTTTTCATGCACTTTCATATATTTTTTATTTTGCTAACAGCTAAATAGTAATCAACTCTGAAAAATGATGCACAAGAATTAGATTTTTAATCGACAAAATTACAAATTAAGTTGGGGATGGAATACTAATTTTACCCACTGTGTATGATCAGTTGAATTTGACTGCAGAAATTAATCTATTAAGCAACAATGAATTTACTTTTAAATTAATATTTTTTACAGATACCGATTGGCCTAGTATGACCTATTACCAGCTCTATGATGGCATTTGTTGTGAACTGGTGGTGGACCTGTAAAATGGGCTGAACAAGATTGTAATGTAATTTCTAAAATTCAGAATCAGAAATTTTATAATCATATACATTTTCACTGTTAACCTCCTATCCTATTACCACTATTCTTCCAGGAACAACTGCTGGTGCTTCATTGTGCAACTTTGCGGTAATTAATCTATACAATGTGACTTGTGAGGTTTTTAAGAGGAACAAAGTGCAGACAGGAACTGATAATGAAAAGAAAAACTCACATGCAACATTTGAGAAGCACAGGAAGACAAACTGTGTAGGGCATAAAATAAAGCAGCAGTGAGGAGATATAAACCAAGAAGTCATGCAGAGAATCTTTAATCAGTGACATAGGAACCAGGTGAGCGTAATCAGGAGAATGCTGAACAGCTGAAGGAAGAAACTGAAGGAAGGAGCTGTTACAAAGAAAACACAGGGTTCTCTGAAGGACCCAGGGGTCCTTTGGGAGCTGTGACAAAAAGGAGGCTAGAAGAGTTCGGCTATAGATCTGAACAGGTCCAACTTTCTCCAGCTGTCACCGCCTCTCATGAGACGTACGGCCTGTCACCTAGCAACCATGATAGTTTACACACAAAGCAGGCAAA